CGTGCAAACATTGTTCCTTCGCCCCGTACTTGGTCGCCATCTGGATCAAATGTTTCCCATCCCCTACCATCAAAACCACGTTTAGTAACCTATTCCCTACTTCTTTTCTTAATTTCCTTTAATTAAATCAAATTTATATCTCTTTTTTAGTTCATGCTTATAATATATTACATGTCACCTTGCGGTATGCTACAAAACTAATCCAGGATCCTGGATTTTTTTTTTTTTTTTAATCATAAAGGTTAATTTGATAGAGACTTGAATAAATTTCAGTTCTCCAAATTTCTTTTTGAAATTTTTAAAATTTTATTATAAACATTCTTCAATTTATCAAATATATTCTTTTAAAATCTCATAAAAATTATTATATGACTCTTTTATTGATATAGTATAATATTTTTTTATTGTCACATTATCCATCTATATTTATTAAGTATTTATCAAGTTAAATTTCTATATGCATTGATCATTTGTTGATCTTGTACCACATTTGTTCCTTTATATACGTAGTATTATTCTTTAATAAAACATGTTTTTTCTGTAATTCAGTTTAAGGAAATGTAATAAAATTTCTCTTACTGATTCTAGCATGTATTATATACATATATGTGTGTGTGTGTGTGTATTGAAATGATATTTGTTAATTTGTGCAAAAAAAGTACACTTATAGATGCTGAATAACACAAACTATACTCAGAATTATATTAAAGATCGAAATGTTCATAAAAGAAGATTGCAACTTATTAAAATTAAAGAAGAACAGTGATTGAAAGGAGGTGTATGATAAGATAGGAGGTTGAGTGTAAAACGTTGAGATATTGTCGGCATAACGAAGGAAGGATTAAATAAAGGGGGCGGGACTCACCTGAAAGGCACACCAACGTGCCAAATATTGAAGTATGGTTCTACGAAATTGGCAATTCTTGGCTAGTTACAAACCAAATGGACCTACCCTCTTAATATATATATATATATTCAAATCTCTTTTTAACATCAGATGTTGATTCTACCCAAATCCATTGCCAACTTTGATGGTTTGAATCAAGAGACCACATGAATGACCTTTGTGCGTCACCCCTCTCCTTTATCTACAAGTAAGGTTACATAAAGGGTTGAACGCATAATAGCTAATGTCTTTAGATTCATAAACAAACAACAAACCAATTTTGGAAATCATGTGATCTTGATGAGGATTATGCAGGCAATTGTTCCTCGCTGAATCTCAACTCTTAATTTAAGTTGTTTTGTGTGGATATAGTTAATGATGTTGTTTCTTTTATTTTGTTTTGTGAAACAAGAGTTTAGATGAAAAATGTGCATGTGATTGTTAAATAATCTCACGCGAATCAAAATTAATGTTGTGTCATACGTAAAGCCAGTTCATTTTTGTTGTAAATGTAAGACACTCTTATGACACGTCATTCCATCTACCTTGTACACAACTTTTATTTCATCAAAATAAAATTATGTAGCATTTGAAATAAAGAGAAGAGATAGGCCTTAAATTAATCAATGAAGTGACAGAAATGGTGAAGGAGTGTTTAGAAGATGATCCCAATATGCTCAACAAATCAAGTCAGGTGCCAGTGCCAGTGCCATGCCATAAAGCTTTTGTTGACCAGACGTGACTGCAATATCATTTTGACTGTGACATCTCCTTTCACATTTTATTGGCATGGGCGTCTTGAGGCACAGAATAGAACCGTTATTTATTTCAGTGCTCATATCAGACAGAGAGGCTCCTCTGAGTTAATTTTTCATTATTAAAACCCAATTATTTTACAGGCTCCTTCCCTTAATTATAAATTACCCGTGGTTAAAAATGCTATTTAATCATGATTAATTAAAGATTTTTTTTTTTTACTTTTTTTTTTAATCTGACATGTCTGATTTTCGGTAACAGAGCTTCTTCTATTACTTTGAAATTCAAAAGATTGGACAAGGCTGAATGGGTCCATCAACTTCAAGTACAAATTACTTTTACACAGTAAAGGAGATTCTGTAAAATTTTATCTTCACCTGTATTTTTGTAAGCCTTGTGATAGAGAAATGGACCTCAATGCTGAAAAGTGAATAAGAATAACTATAAANGCAACTTATTAAAATTAAAGAAGAACAGTGATTGAAAGGAGGTGTATGATAAGATAGGAGGTTGAGTGTAAAACGTTGAGATATTGTCGGCATAACGAAGGAAGGATTGAATAAAGGGGGTGGGACTCACCTGAAAGGCACAGCAATTTGCCAAATATTGAAGTATGGTTCTACGAAATTGGCAATTCTTGGCTAGTTACAAACCAAATGGACCTACCCTCTTAATATATATATATATATTCAAATCTCTTTTTAACATCAGATGTTGATTCTACCCAAATCCATTGCCAACTTTGATGGTTTGAATCAAGAGACCACATGAATGACCTTTGTGCGTCACCCCTCTCCTTTATCTACAAGTAAGGTTACATAAAGGGTTGAACGCATAATAGCTAATGTCTTTAGATTCATAAACAAACAACAAACCAATTTTGGAAATCATGTGATCTTGATGAGGATTATGCAGGCAATTGTTCCTCGCTGAATCTCAACTCTTAATTTAAGTTGTTTTGTGTGGATATAGTTAATGATGTTGTTTCTTTTATTTTGTTTTGTGAAACAAGAGTTTAGATGAAAAATGTGCATGTGATTGTTAAATAATCTCACGCGAATCAAAATTAATGTTGTGTCATACGTAAAGCCAGTTCATTTTTGTTGTAAATGTAAGACACTCTTATGACACGTCATTCCATCTACCTTGTACACAACTTTTATTTCATCAAAATAAAATTATGTAGCATTTGAAATAAAGAGAAGAGATAGGCCTTAAATTAATCAATGAAGTGACAGAAATGGTGAAGGAGTGTTTAGAAGATGATCCCAATATGCTCAACAAATCAAGTCAGGTGCCCGTGCCAGTGCCATGCCATAAAGCTTTTGTTGACCAGACGTGACTGCAATATCATTTTGACTGTGACATCTCCTTTCAAATTTTATTGGCATGGGCGTCTTGAGGCACAGAATAGAACCGTTATTTATTTCAGTGCTCATATCAGACAAAGAGGCTCCTCTGAGTTAATTTTTCATTATTAAAACCCAATTATTTTACAGGCTCCTTCCCTTAATTATAAATTACCCATGGTTAAAAATGCTATTTAATCATGATTAATTAAAGATTTTTTTTTTACTTTTTTTTTATCTGACATGTCTGATTTTCGGTAACAGAGCTTCTTCTATTACTTTGAAATTCAAAAGATTGGACAAAGCTGAATGGGTCCATCAACTTCAAGTACAAATTACTTTTACACAGTAAAGGAGATTCTGTAAAATTTTATCTTCACCTGTATTTTTGTAAGCCTTGTGATAGAGAAATGGACCTCAATGCTGAAAAGTGAATAAGAATAACTATAAAAGTTTTTTTTTTTTTTTTTTTTTTTTTTTTTTTTTTTTTTTTTTTTTTTAAATTCTATACAAATTATCATCTCCATATAGAGTTTTACCTATTAAATTATAATTACTTATTACTAATTTTCAAAGAAGAATTCTTTGTAAATGAAACTTCTCAACTGGTGCTGGTTTATGTCTTTACCCTTTGTGTGCATCATCCATGACATTAACTAGAATAGAATATTAAATTAAATGAAAAAAGAACAATCAGAAATCTATCAAGATGGTTTTCCTAAATCCATATTTGGATACCCTTAAAGTTAAAGTGGGTGATTGATTGACTAATTTTTCAGCAAATACATGTGGGCTGTTTTCTAATTACATGTATAATGCACCCATGCATGCATGCTCAGAATTATATATATATATTTTACCTACCAGAAACAAAAAATTGTATTCATGCGAATAATATACTTATTCATAAATTATAAATACATATTTGTACAGATTGTTGACAGAATTATTAACAACCACAAAATACAAAACAAATAAGAAAATAGAAATAAATTACATTACTTGTCCTTTGTGTGTTATATGATTCCTTTCAATAATTTATTGAGACTATGCCAACTCATGGGATATTATTATAACCTAACAAGTAACAACAACACTGAACCTTCCCTTCAATTATTCATTTAAGGGAAGATTACTTCTAACCTTTTACTTCCATTTCTAGCTACTTCTTCAGCTTATTAAAAAAATGGTGAAATTAAATAAATAAATAAAAATATGGTACTTGCTAATATTGTTCTGATATGAAGATTGATTATGGTTTCATGTAATGAATAATATATCTTAACTCAACCTTTAACATGAATTAATAATTCAACTAAATTCAGTTCTTATGTTCACCTCTATCTTTGCTTTTCATAAGAAGGTTACATATCATATTCATATGTATTTTATTTAATAATAGAAAATTATAAAGTTCTTCTTCACATTTACTTTTATATTATGAAAAATACCCTCTTAACTTAATATAATACAACTTAGATCTAACTCTCATCGAGTTTCTGATGTGATTGTGATATTAATTAATTGAGATTATAAGATGTTTATAGATTAGTATTTAATCACTTAACCTAAATTTGATGATAATTTAATAATAATCCCGTGTGAGCCATCCACAGTTACCGATCAGTACAGCCACACCAACATATGGACCCACAACTATGACAAAAATACAGTCATTTCTTCTGTGTTCTCTCTATAATACAACCCCTTATGATTTCCCAACTCGTCTACATGATCTACGGCTTTAATTTCAATTTTGAAAGTGGACAATCAGGGGTAAACCAAGTGTTAAAATAATGCCACGTCATGAAATGCCAAACTGGCATTGGCTCCAATTAGGATGGACATGCACGCGCATGAAGAGCTTTATAAAGTCTCTCCCTTCTGTTCCCTTCTCTTCATCTTCAAGTTGAAGGCGTGCAAATTTGCTCTCAATTACTTCTTCATTTTTCTCTCCAATTCACTAAAGTGAGAGAAGAAGAAAAAAAAAAAAAAAACAAAACAAAAAAAAGGAATCAAATCGAATTCTCTCTTGGAAGTTTCTTTTACATGATTTGATCACCTTCTATTCCTTTTGTGTTGCAGCTTTTGAACCTCCATTACCACCATATTTTTCACTCTTTCTTATTTCCATCACTCTGCAAAAAGAGATGTATAATTGGGAGAGAACACTGAGAGAAAATCGATATCGCCAAGAGAAAAAAAACACTAACCCATCTTTTTCTTCGTCCCTTCTCGATGAAATCTACCGTTCCACTTCGACTGACGACGGGACGACAAAATCTCCGGACATGAAGTTCTACAGAGAAACCATGCAGAAGAAGCAGAGCAAAAATCGTTTCAAAAGTGACAGGACCATTCAAGAGGAACAGATGTCGAGTCTTCGTCGAGCTTGTTTGATTGAGAAATGGATGGAGAAGAAGGGTAATGAAAAGGCCAGCAACAAACAGAGACAGTTTTTGACGGAATACGAGAGAAAATCTCATCAAGATCATGATCATGATCAAGATGTTCTCTTTTTTAGCTCTACTTCAAGTTCATCAGATTCGAGTTCTGGAGGATTCTCTTCCTCTGATACGGATTCTTTGTACGGTTCAAGAACGAGGTCTTCGTGTTTCGTGAGGCCTAAACCGGTGAGAACTGGCATCTCGGCTCAACCAGAGAAAACAAAGAAAACAGAGAGGGCTCTGTTTTATGAACAGAGAGAATTGCACATGTTTGATGATTATCACTACAATTCCGCCATAGAACACACTCCAAAGTTTGAAGAAACTCTCATCAAGTCAAAATCAAGGGCCTTGAAAATTTACAGCAATCTGAAGAAGGTGAAACAGCCGATTTCACCGGGCGGTCGTCTCGCAAGTTTCATCAACTCTCTGTTCACAGCAGGAAATGCAAAGAAAACAAAGAGTTCATCTTCAAATAATGAAAACTTTTACAATTTGAACTCGGAGAGAAACTCAAAGTCTGGCCAAGTTTCAACATGTTCTTCAGCATCGTCATTTTCAAGATCATGTTTAAGCAAGAATTCGCCTTCCACCAGAGAGAGATTGCGCAATGGGGTTAAAAGAAGCGTTAGATTCTACCCAGTTAGTGTAATTGTTGACGAAGATTGTCGACCGTGCGGACACAAATGTATATATGAAGAAGAAGAAGAATCAAGCTTAATGTCTGTTGCAGTACCAACTGCATGGAAAATGGGAAAATCCTCATCAAGAAAGAAGGAAGAAGAGCTAAAGTTTCAGGGGATAGAGAGAAAAGAAGGTGTAGGTGAAGTGGCCAGGGAGTTTTTGAAAGATTATCATCAAAATCAAAAGAAAAGTGAGCTAATGATGAGAGATGTTCGAGTTAATTATGAAGAGGACGACAATGAGGACGATGATGATGCTGCAAGTTACTCTAGTTCGGATTTGTTTGAGCTTGATCATCTAGCTGTGATTGGGAATAATAGGTATTGTGAAGAGCTTCCAGTGTATGAAACTACCCATTTTGATACTAATCGTGCCATTGCTAATGGCTTGATAATGTAGTTTTGAATAATTATATCATCCTATAGAAAAAAACTGTTGTAAAATTTTTCTTCGTAATTTTGTTTTAGTAATGGCTTGATGTTAATCAGAGACTTGATTCTGAACTAGTCTTTTTGAAATGGGCAATTTTTGTGGTTAACTGTTGTTTTACATATATTTTAATTTTGATGTTGATTAAAATTATGTATGTAACAAAATTTATTGTCGAGTTTGAACAGTCAAATAAGAAACTGCAGCAAGATATTGTTTCAAAATTATAAAACTTGGGTAGGGAAAAAAAAAAAAAAACTTTTTGAGTATCCTCATGGCAAATATAAGGTGGAATGTAGAAGAAAACAAAGGATGGAAGTAAAGAAAAAAGAAAAGTGAAGATGGGAGTTTGATTTTGATCTGAAAAGTAAGAAATAATATTTGGGGATGCGTTAATTCTTGAAGATGATCTATAACTGACAAGGAGAGGGGTTTGATAGAAGAAGAAAGAGAGAAAAAGAGAAGAGGGAAAACGAAAGATTCGAGATCGTAATCACAAGCAAAATGAGAGGGGGTGTGATGGTAAAGGGAAAGGCAGATCTTCGCCCATGGGAATAGAGAAAGTAAAGAGCTTTTGCTTTCTTTTCTTTTCTTTTCTTTTCTTTCTTTCTTCTTATGTAATCTGTTCAGTTGAAAAATTGCATGACCATTCAATTCAATCAATGTGTTTGTGTTTGTGTTTGCGTTAATGTTGGGCTGGCGACTGGCAATTGGTATGGCCCCCCTTTACTTGAACATTGGGTTACCAAAATGCTATTAATATCTCTCTGTCCCAACTACCAAGACCAGAAAAAGGGACACTGCTGCTGCTGGGTGCCTAACCCTCCTCAACAAGTCTCCTCTCACCGCCATTAAAATTGCTTCCAGGTAAATTTCAAATTTATTGAAAATTACTTGGTTATCTTATGCTGTAACATTTTATTAAAACTGAATGACGCTAGCATGACAAAGGCATGTGCAAAGAAAATGGAGGTCCTCCAACTTTATAAGGTTGACTGGTTGGATAAAGACTCTTGGGTATATTATTCAAGAAGTTTTGAGTTTGAGTTCCTCTTCGATTTTTAATAAGGGTAGTTATTGGAACTCTTACTCTGATGGTAATTTTAGAGTTTCGACGATTAATTGAAGTGTACGTAAGCTGATTCAGATACTCTCGATCGTAAAAAAAAAAAAAAAAATAATAAAAAGATTGATCTATATTACCAAATAAGATTAGAATTCAGTGTTAATGAGGTCCAATCAAATTGTCAAATACTTTCTTTTTTTGGGTAAGTAAATTGTCAAAACTTCCATACATAGACCCCCTTAATTAGTTAAACAACTCACTAGCTGCCTGTTTTGCTTAATTCCCTTTCTAACAGCTGCTTAATTTAAGATTCTCTCCACAAGTCAGGGAATGAAATTCAAAATTTGGTCATGAATATTTTCTTTCTTTCTATAGTTAGGGAGACGATTACATTCAAAATGAAGGTAAAGCATATATAAATATATGGAGGTGTACATTTGTTAGAATTGATTATTAGATTAACGAGGTTAGTTTATGATCCATGCCGCTAACGCTGTATTACGAAGCAAAAATAAATAGTCTTTTATTCTTTTATTATTTAAGTTGTGTAGCTTTTTGACAGAAAAATAATTGCGGTGGGGGAAGATAGGAGAGGAGAGGAGTACGTGCAAATTTATATTAATAACTGAAGCATGATTTATATAAGAGGCCCCCCTAAAGGAATCTTACAAATGTGGCTATTCATATAAATATATTATATACCACTCAAAATTGAGTATTTATATATAAAAGAATTATATCCTGATATGCTGCCATGTGCTGTTAACGCTATCTTAACTTGCATAATACCATGAAAACATGGAGAAATTGTGAACTAATCAATGAATTATCAAGTTAATGATGGTAACCCAAAAAAAAAAAAAAATAAAAAAATAAAAAAAAATTAGTGTCCATCAAATAAAAAATTAAATAAAATAATTCTTCTGAAATTTTATTCCCCTTAATGCATGCAACACGTTAATAAATAGTTTCACTTGACCACGTTCGCCCTTTTGGATCCAGAAGATTTTAGTGTTTGTGATTGTGAAAACGGGGATACAAGGCTAGAGATATAACCACGTCCTGTAAGCATAAAAAAATTTATAAACAAATAGACTTAAAAGAGGGTTAATTCATTGTTATTAGAGGTTATAATGAGCTATAAATTAAATTATATAGGATTAGTACGTGACAAGCATGCAGAAGGTTGTAATTGAATTAAAATGGGGAAGTCCCACTCAAAAGAATCCCTCTCTAGTCAAATCTAACATGATCATATGATTAGAAACTGTCTTTATATATATTATTTAAAGCGGTGGTGGATTCGTAACTAATTCAGAAAATACACTATTTTATAGTTTCAAAGTGTGTTTGGAAATTAATTAATAAAGATGAAGTGGTATTTAATAATGGGATTAAAAACCTTTGGTAGGATCATTAATCCTTTAAACTTGGTTAGTTAATTAAAAGATTTAGTACGGTTGGTGAGGTGGGGAAGTTGCCAGCAATATAATGTATATGAATGGTTATGAGAGTTCGAAGAGATAACCTAACTGCCTAGGCGTTGACCCTTCTTTCTTCACAGACTTAATCATCATATTCCCTTCTAACCTAGCTCTCTTTTCATGGAGGAAGAGGACTTTAATGGTATTTAGTTTTAAACTAAGTAAGGGTTATCTTAATAATCTACATATTTAATTCTTTAGGGCATATTACAGCATATACGTCAAAAGTTACAATCAATTTCAGTTAATACTTTTGTCTTTTAAAGACTCTTGATGTGGGAGTTTTATTCGATCGTTAATTAACATATGTCTTTAATATATACATGTCCTTAAACTAATATAATTAAAATGATAATAAAAGGATGTATTAATTTATAACTTGAGTGTTACATGCAGTTCATGATCTGGCCAGTACTATGTATGAACTCGATCACATTGAAAACTATGAAGTTGTTTGAAGCTTTTTCTTGAAAGAAGATAAAAGTTCTTCATTGTTTTATATTATGATAAACAAATACTTCTGGCATTAGAAATTAGTTAGTTAATAAAGGAAAATTTGGTACACCTGCAATTTATTTGTAGGTATTATCAATACCCCTACACTAAGTGTTAGGTATATACATAATACATGAAGCTAGCCCTTTGAGTTTTATGAAAACCGCGTGAAAGTTAATTGAAAAAAAAATTGGTCAGGTTTGAGAGGTAGATGGTTCACTTCTTCTGCTTTTGCTTTGTTTGTAAAAGACAAACTTATCTGATCGAAAGGTGATCCCTAGGTGAATATATAATTTTCATTAAATCATCACCACCAGCTTTTTCTTTCTCCTACAAAGTTACAAAGCCAGTGATGAAGATGACATTTGATATTACACAAAAGAATCTTGTTTTCCTTTATAATTTGCTTCTACAACACTTCACAGCTATATATTTTGATATAATTGTATATATGTGCAATATTATCAACTCCGACTTTAATACTATTTAATCAATCCCGCCGCAGTATTGCCCAAAGTTGAGACCCCACGTTCGATAATTCAGTTTTTTATTATGTTAATGATAAGCACCCGACTCAAGTTTGGATTCCCATTTGGTGATCCCAAATTAAATAAAAATGAGTCAATTTTGTCTTTATAATGATGTTATTTTTTAAAACTTATAACAGACATGGTCTCTTTGGTAAAATCGAAAATCAATTTCAAAATCCAACCACCGACTTGAATTTGGCGAGCTCGCTTCTGCACCCACCGCTCATACATATATATGCTCTGATTATGGTAGCTTCAAGTTATATATAGAGGAGGACCACAAAATGGTGGTCCAAAATAAACTTTGTACACATTCGCCGTGAGTTTTAGGAAATCCCACCCAATTATGAGTTTCATCATTTCCTCTTTCGTAAAGGTTAAAACAATTGCATAGACGATATCACTGATCTCTTTGAAAAAATCTAGATAAGGCAGTTCATTTTCATGCATCCTCTAGTATTTTACAAGGATGTCACATTCAACTAGTTTTTTCATAACATAATCCGCCCTAAGCTGTCGTTAGCCAGTGTTTGACAACAATCTCAACACATTTATAAGTCGCTTTATGGTTCTCTGACCGCTTTGCTGAAACTTTAATTTATCATATGATAAACAAATAATAAAGTTACATTATCATGATCGTTGCAGGCAGTCCTCATCAACAGAAAAAATCGCCTTTATTCGGGTCTCGACAATCGCCGGTGTTGAGCTCTCCGGCAAAGCAAGGAAAGGGCAACAGCAAAGCAAGGAAGTCTGGTGGATGTTGCCGTGGAATGAATGATTGCATAAACATGGGGTCAGTTGTTTCCACAAACCAAAACCAGCAGCACAAACACCAACACCAACACAAGCAGCATCATCAGTCCACATCCAAATTGGAGGAGCAGGTAGTTTGGACCACAATCAATATATAGCTATCTAAATTCATGTTATAGTCAATGAATTTGAAGAAATGGTTCACATGTGTCTAATGTATTTTGTTCGAGTCACATGACTACTTATGGAGATTTGGTCCCAATTTTTGACAAATGCATTGTCAGAAATCAATGAGGTATTGATGCATATATAGAATTATAGTGTTGGTCTTCACCTCTTCATCTTTATACTCGATTATTAGACTACCCAAAACATTGCCTTCTAGGGTATCCAATTTAAGTTAGCCGTATTTTCATACCATGAATATTTAAGTTGGGCCTTGGTCTTAAAATTGATGCAAATTTCAAGTGGGTTTTTGGCTTGTATAGGTGGAAGAACTTAAAAGAGAAGTCCAAAAGCAGAAAGAACTTCGGATCATTTACAGGAAGAGAATGGAAAGAACGCAAGACTATCTAAGATACTGTCTTCAAATTGCACAGGACAATGGTCTCTTGGAGCTCATGACCCACAATAAACAAGAACAACACGATCAATGTCTTCTTGACTACAATACTCCTGAAGTCAATGCTACCCCTCAAATGCCAACTCCTTTGCATCCACATTCAGATTTAGCCGCTTTAGTCAATCAAGCCAAGATAAATGGATGGTACATTAACCCAAATGAGGTAAGATCCCATTAAACGTGAAAAAAAAAAAAAAAAAAAAAAAAAATCTAAAGTAAGCATAGATTTTACATGATATGTGTTATCTATGCAGATAGAATTGCAAGAAAAAATAGGTCAAGGAAGTACGGCAAACATTCATAAAGGGGTTTGGCGAGGACTTGACGTTGCAGTGAAATGCATATTCCCTGATTTTTTCCGACAAAATGAGAACGGTGTAACATTTTTTGCTCAAGAAGTAGATACGTTGTCGAGACAACGGCATCGTTTTGTTCTGCAGCTAATGGGTGCGTGCCTTGATCCTCCGAATCATGGGTGGGTGGTGACAGAGTTCTTGAGTATGACACTGAAGCAGTGGCTACATGGACCAGATAAAAGACGAAAAGAGAGGAGTGTTCCAATTCCTCCGTTTAAAGAGAGGCTGGATACGGCATTGGAGATTGCTCAGGCAATGCAATATCTTCATGAACAAAAACCAAAGGTCATTCATCGTGACTTGAAGCCAAGCAACATCTTTTTGGATGATTCTAAGCACGTAAAAGTGGCCGACTTTGGCCATGCTCGATACTTGTGTGATGAAGAGATGGCACTCACTGGCGAAACAGGTAAGAACCTCACATTAATTTTATAAAATGATTTCCAAATTTAATAAAGGATTTGTATATAGCAATATTTGCTTTAGGAAATTAATCATAAATATATTTTGCTATGGTATTTCTTCATTTCAGGAACTTATGTTTACATGGCGCCCGAGGTGATTCGATGTGAGCCTTATAATGAAAAAAGCGACGTTTATAGTTTTGGTATCATATTGAATGAGCTCTTAACAGGAAATCATCCATATATTGAGACAGACTATGGTCCGACCAGGGTATGTATAAGATTAACATTAATTCAATTCAAGGATGAAAAAGAAAAATTAAAGAAATGTTTAAATTAGATGTTGGTTTTCAAACAAAAGTAATTAAAAACAAATAACAGTCAGCAGTAATTAATTTTTGTGTGTGATATGATGATTAGATTGCAATGGAAGTTGGAGGAGGAACGCTAAGGCCTGCGCTTCCAGAGAATAGTGATGGACGATTGGAAGAGCTTATAGACCTCATTTGCATTTTATGGGATGGAGATGCCTCTGCTAGACCCTCATTTTCATCTATAACCACTGCTTTAACAAAGATTCAAAACAAATTTATAAACAATACATGTCAACATTCAATTGCATGTTAAAGTACTAGATGTAAAATTGTATACTTTCTTATTGGAATATTAATGTAGTATATATTTTATCTCCATACCACTTACACTAAGTATAATTAAATCAAAACAATAATTTTTTTAATCACACTTCTATTATGTTATAACCTCCTCATTATAATAAATTAGTTGGTCCCACTATTATGACTATAGAGAGGTTATATATATATATCCAGACCAGCTTACGCGCACTTCAACTAATCCTTCAGGACCCTGAAACTATCGTCCGGGTAAAAGCTTCAGTAACCACCCAAATTACCTCTTCAGTAATATACCTAAGAGTCATAGTTGACCACTCGGTTACTTAGTGGTGGTTAAATGTTAAAGCAAATTAAGGATATTTATTTTTGAAAATAGTTGACCATTCCATGGTTGTCAAATCATGTATCGTATCGTGTATCGAAAACCTAATTTTTCGAATCGTGTATCGTGTATCGCGTATCGTATCGTATCGTAGGATACGCCTTTTACAAAAAATTAATAAAATAATAAAAAAATTCTAAAAATTAATATCATCCCAATGATCAATTAACAAATTTTGTAGTATTATTGACTTTAAATTATGGCATTACATAATCAAAATTAATCACAAAATTAAGAATCTATATCATTTCCTCTCAACCATTCATATCATTTCTAAGATTAATGTCAATATCTATATCTCCATTTGTGTTATTATTATCATACAAAATGAGCAATACATCTTCCTTTTCACTTTCCCCATGCAAAATGGGTAAATTTGGGCAGGTTTTAGTGAACTAGGTTGGGTGACCCGAATTCGACATGAATTTTTTTTTGGATCTTTGGCCCAAATTAATAAAGTTGTATCGATTTGTGTCGATATTTTTAAGGATACAAGCGAATACGTATCGTATCGTAGGATATATATCAATGTATCGAAAGGTTTAGGATACACTCTCTGATACGTATCATTAGCAACCCGTATCGAATCGTATCGTAGGATACGTATCGCATATCGTAGGATACTAACAACCATTGACCATTCATTAACAAGATTAAAAATAGTTGAGTTTCATATGGAATAATCAAAAACTCATTATTTATCATTTCAAAGATTAAATTTTTTGATTGATTTATGTTTGTTTATTGGAAAATGAAACTCAGTTAATTGGAATATGGGAAGGCTGAGACTGTGGTAATCGGAAAAGGGCGGCCGAGACTGTAGTGGAGGTGGTAACGGCATGTAAAGCGAACTAAGGATATTTATTTGTGAAATAAGTTATTTATAGTAACCTGTAATTAATTACTCTTGTAGATTATAAACTACAGATCAATTAGAGAAAATCTCGTTTGCTGTCATTGTACCAAACTCAGAATGCTGAATTGGTACTACAAACCAATCATACATTAACATTGTAAATATATTAAAATAATATTATCTTAGTTATCAAGAATTTTACCCAAACCCATGTAATTAGTCACGATCTTTTCCTCTAAATCGCCTCCATCACCGTTACCACCTCTACTACAGTCTCGGCCTCCCTTTTCCGATTACCACAGTCTCGGCCTTCCCATATTCCAATTAACATATTTTTGATCGACTGTCATCATTTTAAATATGCATATTAAGAGAGTGTTTTTTCACTTAATGGTATTTACTTAATCAACTAATTAATCAGCCTATAATGAATAGGTTATCTTCTTCTGATATTGAATTTAATTCCATAAAAATCATAAGTGACCAGAACGAATTATGGTAACTCCGCGACACCAGTGGAGGGATCGTGTTCGAAGGCCAGAATATCATTTGGAGCACATGACATTCATTGAATTTAACGGAACCTTTCTCTTTGTCTGAACCTGCACACCTTAAAGTTTTTGACAACTAGCACTAGAATAGAAGTGAATGCACTTAACACAAATGGCTTCACAACATTGGATATTTTATCACAAACCAAGTACTTGGATATAAAAGATAACGACACTAGAGAGTTGATTCGACCTGCTACTTCAGAAATTCATTTATCTACAAATGAATATAAATCCCAACCTAAAGGTAATTCGAATGATTGGCTGAGAAAGAAGAATAGCAGCTTGCTGGTAGTAGCATCACTGATTGCTACCATGGCATTCCAAGTAGGCGTAAATCCTCCCGGTGGTTTATGGCAAGACACCTCTCTGGGTCACTTGGCAGGGTCTTCCATAACGGCTGATCAAAACCCACATGCATAAACTCTTTTCTTGAGTTGTAACACCACAGGTTTTGTAGCTAGCCTCTCTTAGTATCATGCTATTTCTTATTAGTGGCTTACCATTTCGGAGCAAGGCTTTTATATGGATTTTAGCGGTAATTATGTGGATTGCCATTACTTCAACTGCACTCACTTAGACGTTGCTATATCTGCTTTCACACCTTCCTGTGAAGATAATGCACTTCTTAAAGTAGTAGGAGAGGTACTTTTGATATGGATGGTTTTGATTTCAACTCTTTTTCCCGATCATGCTATTCGTCTAATGGTGAAGATGGTTAAATATTTAACGAGATTAATGAGGTCACCCAGGCAACCAGCAGATCGGTGTTTACGAACCACATGACAAGAGCTCCGAATGTAGACAACCTAAACAATGTTTAAGAATAATAAATAAAAAAAATTATGTACAATAATAGTTCAAGAAAAGTTTTTTCTGAGTCATGTATACAAATTTTTCTTTCATCTATCCTATGATAATTGACATATAATTAATGATTTTTAATGTGAATGTATACATTACAAATTTATTTATTTTTTGTTGTACAATATCATATGTAGCATGGTCATAGGTGTAAGATTAATTTATGATAGGATGCATTTGTTTATATTCAAGAGTCCCTCTTCTAGGATTTCTCCGCCGTTTCTTTAAAATGGAGACAATGATTTATTTAACAAAATTTCTCCTAGGATGCATTTAACCAAATTTATTAATTTTTAAAAGATTAAGAAGCTCATAATTTCTTTCTCCAAAAATTTAACTAAGTGAAGGCCATTTAAATCCATAAGTATATTGATTTACCAATTTTACTAAGGACGTACACACATTATTAAACTTTGAAAATTTAGAAAACAAAATTATAAACAATACATGATCTAATCATTGAGTTTCATGCTCAAGTCCTGGATTTATATGATAAACATAAGAGTAAACCTACTTGGGTAACTCCATTTATAAGCGAACAAAGGAAATTGTATAGTTTCGTATTGGAATGCGTTATGTGTCGAGATTTCAGTAATATTTACTGAATATCTCATGATCTTTTTATTTTGTTAGTTTTAGCATATTCATAATTAGGGGTGGGCGAAAAAAATAGGGTAGCCTTCTGTTCCTACCTCGAATTGGCTGCCATAGTATCGGTTCCGGTTCTGAAAACCTGGAACCGACATTTTACAGTTTCGGTTCCAGTTCCATCCCTGCAGGAACCGAGAACTGGAACGAACCGGGGTTTTAGTTCTGGAAAAAGAAAAAAACAAAACCATACAAAAAGTTTGATTAATTTCAACACAAAACTCCCTGGAAAATTAAACAAATAAAAACAAGAAATTAAAGAACCACATTGTTACCCTGATAAGAAGTTTTAAGGAGTTTTTTAATCAACTTTCTCTCAATAACGTTGTCATCAATAGCAAGAACATGAAACTGAGGTTGAGTTTCACCACCCATGATTGAAAATTAGATAGATGGTATTGAAAATATTTCTTTAATAAAATAAAGGTAGAAGAGGCAGAAGATGTTGAGAGATGGAGATGATGATGTTGAAATTGAAGAAAAGGGCAATTAGGTATTAAATAGAAGGCTATTGAGAGACAAATCTATAGGATATCTGTATAGTTTGGAAAGCAAGATTCTGCAGGTTTCATCAACAATCTTGAGGATCTTCTAGTCTAGAATAATACATCTAGGCTCAAACATCACCACTTCTAGGCTGGAGTTCAAACCAAATCATGAATCACAAAATGAGAGAACCCATTAAACAAAGTAATCTATTTGCATTGTGTCGTTACAATGAAAACCCAGAAACTCAGATGTGAAAAATAATAATAGAAGAGAACAACATTGTGGGCCGATTCGATGGTTAACAGGAATGGCGTTTGCTGTAGTAGGGAGAGGGTGACTGGTCTGGGAACCACGCTGTATTCGTCCTTGAAAAATGATGAGGAAGATTGCACCGATTAGGTTTAGACTAATTGAAATTAAACTCCATTTCAGATTTTGGCTAAAATGAAAAAACATCTTCTAGAAGAAGACTAATACCTTATCTCAAATTCACTCGTGTCTTGTGTCACTGCTGCCACGTCATTTTAATTTATGCTGTTTTGAATTTTGATATGGGGTGTATTTGTAATTTTTTAAAGGTTAATTTGTCATTTTTTAAACTAACAGGGACCACTTTGTCATTTTTTGGGGTATTCGGAACCGGAACTGCTAGTTCCAGTTCCAGTTCCAGTTCTAGTTCCAGTTCCCGTTATATATTACAGGAACCAACCAATTCCAATTCCAGTTTCGGTTTCGGTTCCTCCAAAAAAGAACAGGTACCCAGACCTGTCCACCCCTACTCATAATATCCTTAATATCTTGTAATCTACTAATTATATCTATATATTGTAATTGACATAATTAGGACATTCCATAGATTGTATCCTCCCTATATAAAGCCGGTAACTCTTACTAAATTAATAAATGAATTGAAACACACAATTCTTCAAACAAACATGGTATCAAAGCCACTCTTTGATCTAAAAAATTGCTCATTGTAGAGCAACCATCGAAAAATTCACCAGTGATTTACCATTCATCCTGTCGTCAATCCGCTAAGGAGAAAACGACCTATCCCAATTGTTGATGCTTGATTTTGACACCAATGACTCACACGTGCAAAATGCTAAACGGGCTTAGAAGTTACACATGATATGGAAATATGTAGCAAGAGAGTAAATAAAAGACAGTTTTTAAAATGGTTCAGATACTCAAAAGCGATT